TTCCCGTTGAGTCTTAGTCTTGGAAGGGGGTTTGCGCTGAGGGGACCCGACCACTTGCCTTGATGTTTCTTGGGCAAGCAAGTTGCTTGTTCTTGTAGTAACAGTCGGTCTGCCTATGTTGTTTTGTATTTTTCCTGTAGGTCTTTCTTTCACTGATTGATTTTCATATGTTGAGCTTGTGTCCTTCCCCTTTGCTGAATCTTTCAATGAGTTCCAATCATTTTTTTGTTGAGTCTTTGGGATTTTCTATGGATAAGGATCATATCCTTGGCAAATAGAGGGATTTTACTTCTTTGTTCATTTGGATGCCTTCAATTTCTCTTTCTTGCCTTACATGTTTGGCTAAGACTTCTAGTACAATATTGAGTAGAAGTGGTGATAAAGGGCATCCTTGTCTGGTTCCTGTTCACAATGGGATTACTTTCAGTTTCTTTCCATTGAGAGCAATGTTGGCTGTTTATTTGGTGTGTCATTGTTGTTAAGTGCCTTTGAGTCAGTTCCGACTCATAGCAACCTTATATAGGGTTTCTGAGGAGTGGCTGATGGGTTTGAATTACCAATTTTGCAGTTCAAACTGACCTTGCAGTTCATTGCTTATCATACGGTGCCACACCAAGACTCCATGGTTTTGAATATATGCCCTTAATTATGTTGAGGAATTTCCCTTCTAGTCCTATTTTGTTGAGTGTTTTTTAATCAGGAATGAGTGTTAGATTTTGTCAGATATCTTTCCTGCATCAGTTGATGTGATCATGATGTTTTTTGCCTGGTTTTGGTATCAGGGTTATTCTTGCTTCATAAGATAAATTCAGGAGCTTTCCATCCTTTTCTTTGTTCTGGAATAGTTTGGGTAGAATTTATGTCAGCTCCTCTATGAATTTTTGGTAGAATTCACCAGTAAAGCCATTTGGCCCTGGACTTTTTTTTGTTTGGGAGTGTCTTATTGACTTGAACAGTTTCTTCTTTTGTTAGGAGATCTGTTCATGTTTTTTACTTAAGTCTGTGTTAGTTTAAGTAGGTCATGTGTTTCTACAAGTTTGTCCATTTCTTCTAGATTTTCAAATTTGCTGGAGTATAATTCTTCATAGTATTTTGTAATTATCCTTTTTATTTCCATTGGTTCTGCTGTGATACCACCCATAATATTTATTAAGGTCACCTTTCTTGGGGGTGGGTACAGATATGGATCTCTCCCATTTTGTTAGCCAGATAACTAGCTGTCTTACAGATTTTTTTGTTTCATTTTTAAATTTGTTCTACTATCCATTAGCTTTTCAATTTCCATGTATTTGATTTTGTTTCCTTGCTCTTCCTATTGTTAATTCCTCATTTTATAGCATTGTAATCTGAAAAGATGCTTTGTGGTATTACGTTTTTACATTTATTGATGCTTGCTTTGTATCCTAACATATGGTCTAGAGAGTGATCCGTGTACACTGGGAAACAATGTATATTGTGCTGTTGTTGGGTAAGTGCTCTGTATAAATCTGTGAGATCAAGTTGGTTGACTATGTTGATTAGTTCTTTTGTGTCTTTGTTGAGTTTCTTCCTAGTTCTTCTGTCCTTTATCAAAAGTGGAGTGCTAAAATCTCCTACTATTATTGTGGAGTTGTATATTTCTTCCTTCAATTCGTTTAGAATTTTATTTCTTCCAGATTTTTTGGCATAGACAAGTGAGTGCTTCCAGCATTGCATCAGTTTGTTGAAATATTTCAAATGATATTCCATCAATTCCTGGAATCTTGTTTTTCACTAATAACTTCAGTGAAGCTTGGACTTCTTCCTTCAAAACCATCATTTTTTGTTGTTGTTGTTGTTTTTTAATCATATGCTACCTCCTAAAATCATTGAATGTCAACCAAATCTTTTTGTATTTTTATCATCTTCTTTTGATGCTTCCTTCATTGTTCAATATTTTGTCCTTACAATTCTTTAATATTTCAAGTTGAGACATTGTTTTTTTCTTCTGTTCTTTCAGCTTGAAAAATGCTGAGTGTGTTCTTCCCTTTTGATTTTATAACTCTGGGTATTTATACATTTCATTATAATATTTTACTTTGTCTTCTTGAAATATCCTTGGAAATTATCTATTTAGATCTTTTACATCATCATGTCTTCCATTCGCTTTAGCTACTTTACATCCAAGAACAAGTTTCAGAGTCTCGTCTGACATCCATTTGGGACTTTTCTTTCTTTGCTTTTTTTTTTTTTTTTTCCTTTGCTATCTTTTTAATGACCTTTAATCAAATATGACCCATATCATTGGTTATTAATATTCATTGAATCACATCTGTTCATGAGATGGTCTCTAAATTAAGTTGGGATATATTCAAGGTCATATTTTGTCTCTTATGAACTTGTTTTAATTTTCTTCAGCTTCAACCGGAACTTGCATATATGCAATTGCTGTTCTGTTTCGTTTTGGCTGACAGTATTGAACTTCTCCGCTGTTTCTTCCCACAAATGTAGTTAGCTTGATTCCTGTGTATTCCATCTGGTGAGGTCCACATATATGGTTGCTGTTTATGTTGTTGAAAAAAGGTATTTGCATTGAATAAGTCGTTAGTCTTACAAAATTCTATCATGTGATCTCTAGTGTCTCGTTTCTATCACCAAGACCTTACTTTTCAACTATCTGTCCTTCACAACCAAACAACAGTCCCTTCTCTTTGTTTCTAGCTTTTGCATTCCAATCACCAGTAATTATCAATGCATCTTGACTACATGCTTGATCAGTTTCAGACAGAAGAAGTTGGTCAAAAACTCTTAATTCCTTCATCATTGGCTTTGATGTTTGGTACATGATTTTGAATAGTAGTTGTATTAACTGGTCTTCCTTCTTGTTGTTGTTGTTAAGTGCCGTCGAGTCTGTTCCCACCCATAGCGACCCTGTATAGGGTTTCCAAGGAGTAGCTGGTAGGTTTGAACTGCTGACCTTGCGCAGTCCAGCGCATTAACACACAGCGCCACACCAGGACTCCTGGTCTTCCTTATAGACCTATAGATATTATCCTATCACAGCAGCATTGTACTTCTAGATGGATCTTGAAATGCTCTTTCTGATGATGAATGTGACACCATTCCTCTTCAATTTGTTGTTCCTGGCATAATAAATCATAATGATTGTCCGAATCAAAATGGCCAGTACCAGTCCATTTCAGCTCATTAACACCTAGGCTCTCAATCTCTATGCATTCCATTTCACTTTTGACTACTTCCAGTTTTCCTAAATTCACACTTTCTATATTCCATGTTCTGTTTCTTGTCCATTTGAGTCATGCCCATCAGCAGTGAAGGTCCTGAGAGCTTTGCTCTATCGTTCAGGTCAACTTTACTTTGAGGAGGCAGCTCTTCCCCAGTTGTATTTCGAGTGCCATCCAACCTGAGGGGCTCATCTTCTGCCACTATATCTGACAGCGTTTCACTGCTACTCATAAGATTTTCAGTGGCTATTCCTTCAGAAGCAGAATGCCTATTCCTACTTCTTAGTCTCTTTTTAGTCTGAAAGCTCCAGTGAAACTTGTCCACCATGGGTGAGCCTCTGGTATTTGAGTGGCAAAGCGTCCAGCATCACAGCAACAGCAAGCCACCACAGTATGATAAATGACAAATGAATGTGTGCATATGTGTATATATACTCTAAACATATAGATACACACTAAACATATATACATATATATATGTATATATATATACGTTTAGTGAGAGACACACAAAAAACTAAAATAGTCTAACAAGAAACAAAATACTGAAGAAAACATCTTTTGATTTTTTTTATCAAGATTCAGATGTAGAGGACATCTTCTCATCAAACTTTACTTCTGAGTCACCTTTTCTCCTTTGAACTGGTTGGGCTAGAAAATAAGTAAAATATTTTGCAGAGTCTGATGGAGAAGATGTTGATTTTGCAATGTCTAATTAAATGCGCAAAGAACACAGAAAGGTTTTTCAACAAATAACTTGTGTTTGTCCTTTTGGTCTCAGACTTTTGTACATCTGGCTTATTTTAATGTGACAATGTAATTGATGTGTTTTTATTATTGTGGTGGTAGGCCTACTAACATTCTGTTCTTACACATACAGTTTATGCTCTTTTTTACTCATTGAAATGACACACACTGAGTGATTGGCTTGAAGAATTGTTATAGCTGTGCGTAAGCACAGATTTGAATTTCCATGGTTGCAGACCACAGATCTTCTTTTTGAAACAGAGTTTAAGCATTAAAAAGAAAAATCTAAGACACTAATACGCTAACCTTTGGAATAAGTAGTGGTTTCCATTTTGTTATGCATTTGTTTTCTCATTTTTATCATGAACAGGGGTCTGCAGGTCGAGGGGTGGCTCTCTGCACCTGAATCCCTTGCACGGGCACTTTGGCTGCATGTGCACCCTCCTGTCAGATGGCTGCACTCTCTTAGACTCTCTTGCTCCTCTCTCACAGGCAACTTCGAAGCCAACTCAGTCTCATCATCATTGCCCAGATGCTGGGCCAGCAAGAGACGCTCCCTCTCTGGCAAAAGAGTACCCAGGTGAGTCTTGTTTCACAGCTGGACCAATTGTTAAGTGCTGTCAAGTGGATTCCAACCCATAGCGACCCTGTATAGGGTTCCCAAGGAGCAGCTGATGAGCTTGAACTACCGACCTTGCAGTTCAGCATTAGCTCACAGTGCCATACCAGGACTCCTGCTGGACCAGTATGCACCTATAAATGGATGAACAGTTCTCCCATGGTCTGCTCATTTCTGATGTTTTCCCCAAAGCTTAGGAGCCTGAGATGAGGAGAGCTAGACTGTGTTTGGTTTGTTACTCATTGTCTTCCAATCAGCAAATATTTTTTTGCATGCATAACAGCTGTTTCTTGGAAACCCTGTACAGGGTTACTATGAGTCAGAACCAACTCGATGGCACTTAACGACGACTATTATTACATTGTGGACTCTGAGGAGGGAACAGTGATCTGAAAGCACTGATTCTTTTTTATAGGTAGTAAAAACATACTTATTAAATTGGTCCCCTTCTGTCCCAGGGTTAGACATTTCTTTAGGGAGCAAATTCATTGGAGTTCTGTTCCCCTTCCCCGTCCTTCTTTTCTCCAAGAAACTCCTGTTTGCAGCTGAGAGAGCATCACTTCTGTGCCAGCACAGAACAGAGGTCAAGGAGTTCGAGAATGCTTTTACCTGCCCAGGAATCTCCCTGACATCCCAGAAGAGTTGCTAGGCAAAACTGAACCCTGAGACACAGTGACACCACAAGGGTAAAGCTTGAATCTCTCCTGTCACTGTAAGGGTTCCAAGTAGAGCCCCCACACCCCTGCCCAGAATGCTGGTGAAGAGTTCAGCACACTCTGGAAAGGTGGACATACTGGCTGAGTCTGAGATGCTATGACTAAATACACCGAAAGGTGACCGGTTTGCTTGGGTTGTGATCTTGGGTTTAGCTTGGTCTTTGACCTGGCTGCCCCCTTTGCCTTGAATGCTTTCCCTTTAGAACTCAACATGACTTCTTGTCATTCTGATTCCAGCTAAAACAGTCACCTCTTCAAGGAGACCTTTCCTGATTTCCCAACCCAAAAATGCCCCTCCCATCACTATTGCCCTGTTTTAGATCGGTTGTGGCTTTCACCTCCTGATAGTTTAGTTATGTATCTAATGCCCAGGTGCTTTGTCTCTGTCCAGTCCCCTGTAGGACAAAAGCTCTTTAAGAGAAGGGGTCCAGTCTTTTCTGCTCACTGCTGCCCCTGGGCACCTAGCACAGTTTGGGGCACATGTCAGGTTCTCAGTACACATTTGTGGGGTGAATGAATACCAACATCCAGTTGTTAAGAAGTACAGGGGAGAATGTACCCAAGTCCAACTCCAGGACAGGCAGAGCCCTTGGCTCCAGCTGGGGAGGAAGTGACCTGCACAAGGTTACTTGATGGCAGAGCTTCTCTATGACAAAGAGAGAGCAGAGGGGCCAGGCGGTGTCATGAGGGCCAGCACTGGGGGCAGGAGAAGGGGACAGGCAGGCAGAGCCGGGAGAGCCTGAGAGAAGGGCGTTGGTGTAGGCCACAGGCTGGGGCTGAGTCCTGGAGACTGAACTCTGCAGGCAGCCAAGCGTGGTGACAGAGGAGTGGAGGGGGAGGCCAGAGTGTCAAGGTAAAAGGAGGATGAGGAGCAGAGGGCTGGGTGGGATAACCCACCAGGGCTAGGACTGGCAAGACACACAGGGTGCTCAGAGTATCAGGGTCAGCTCAAGGTCTGGGACTTTGTTTTGATTTGTTGTGTTTTGTTTTTCTAGGCCAGAGGGAGGGTAGGGTAGGGGTGAGAGTATGTACTCATGGTGGAGGCCAGAGAGTGGCAAGTGGGGGAGGTTTGTAGAGGAAGAACTAGGTTATCTGGTCTGCAGGGAAGCTGACAGGAAAGTGAGTAGAAGGGGCACTTGGAGGTAGGGAGATCTGTCCCAGAGAGCTGCCCCAAAGCAAGGGCAGTAGCCAGCCAAGGACAAGGTCCAGCCTTGCCGTTCTGATCCCCAGATCCAGGACTGTTCTGTCCATCTGCCCTTGAGTCCTGGTGTGGCACTGTAGGACAAGCACTGGACTACTAACCACATGCTTTGCAGTTCAAACCCACCAGCCACTCCTTGGAAACCCTATACAGGGTCCCTATGAGTCAGAGCCTACTCAATGGCACTTAATAACAACTGACTGTTGATTTGTCATTCACTACGTACCTCCTGTGTGGCAGACTGTGAACAAGACATTGTGAGGAGGTCCTGTTCACTGGGGAAACAGAGCTCCTGTGGAATGAACCAGGCCCTGAGGAGCGGAAATGCATCCTAAAAAAGCTGAGTAGGTGCTTGTACAGCAGAGGAGAGAAGGGATTTCCAGGGGAGGAAACGGTACAGGTTGTGACAGATACAGGGAAGCTGAGAGTGAGGGAAGGACTGGAATGGACCTGCCGCCTGCCTTCAAGATGCTTTTCCCACTTGCCCTTACCCCATCTCCCCTGCAGGCCCTGTCCAGACCCTCCTACAACCTCCTCCCAGGTGTCTGGCTTCTAGCTACTGCTCTTTCCTGTCTGTCCTGATCTTCTTGACACACCTTCAAAGGGCCCGCCCTCATACCGGTAGCCACCTAGGTAAATCCACAGGCTCTCTTTCCTAAGTCTCCTCAACAAGGCCTCTACAAAGCTTTGACTGTGGGGTGGCCCCAGCCTGAAACGGGCCCCTTCTTCTTTTCTACACATCCTGTGCTCTCCATTGCTGTTCCAAATCATAGTATAGAGTTTCTAACGAGCGGCTGGTGGGATTGAACCGTCAATCTTGCAGTTAGCAGTCGAGTGCTTGTCCTGCAGCACGACACCAGTGCTCCCCATTAGTGATAGCTAATGGTCCACAAAGCTCTTACTCTGGCTGATGTGTTAAGAATAAATTCTTGGGGCAGGGAGGAAGTTGAGAGACCAGTTGGTAGGTGATTTCAGTAATCCTGAAAAGAGATGCAGCCCAGGTGGTAAAAAGTGGTCAGCGTCATGAGAAGACTTCCCAAGAACTGCCAGCATGATGTGGGAAGTGAGAGGAAGGGGATATGGAGGACCTCCAGGTCCCCTCTAGGAAACAGGGAGAGTGGAGATGCTCATTACTGAGACAGGCAAGACACAGATGGATGGAGCAGGCTTGAGGGAGGAAATCAGGAATTCTTTTCCAGAACATGCTTTTCCCAGTACATCTCTTGCAACACAGCAGACTTCATATCAGACCTTGTCTTCCAGTTAGAGATTTAGAAAGCATGGGCTGCAAATGGCCAAGGCTTCCCATCAACTAGGGAAAGGTTAACTGTGTTCCAACCTGCTATCCATTCATTGATTCACTTGATAAATATTTATGAAACATATACTATGCCAGACACTCTGCTAGACTCTGAGAATACTGCAAGACAAATACTGCCTCCAAGGTGCTTCCATTCTGTTGAGGGCTCAGAGACTAGATAAGCAGGAGTCAAAAAGTTGTGGGAAAATAGTATTATCTTTTGATTCCCTTTTTCCACGAACTCTATGACATCCTCTCATATAAAACAAGTAAATTCCATAGCATGTTAGAAGACCATAAAGGCTCTGGAGGGGCTGGGGAAATAGTAGCATTGGATGAGGGGACCTGCAAGTATGGAGTATGTGGGCTGCAGGGGTAGAGAGGGAGCTGGGGCTGCCCTCCTGAGAATGTGGGGCTGCAGTGAAACCCAGGGAGGAAAGGAGATCTCGGCTTTGCAGTTTCTGGACACAGACTCCAGGGAGCAGCAGGAAGGTGATTGAGTCTGTGCTGGAGGGTGAAGGGGTCCAGGGGAAGAGAAGAGATCCCAGAGGTGAAGTGGATCCATCCCCCAGGGCCTCACAGACACACAAGACCTGTGCCCTCCTCTTGAGGTGAATAGGCACCTCTGCCAGCTTTGGCCAAGGCATGGCATGCTAGCAGTTACTTCACAGGCACTTCATCAGTGTTTTCCTCTCCCTGGGTGATCTGAGCAAGCCCGTGGCCTCTTTTCTTGGGGGCTCACTTGCTTCTTGCTTGGAGGCATCTGCCCTAACTAGGGCTGAGTGTTTACAGAGACACCTCCCAGCAGTGGAGTGGGAAGGGCTCTGGTCCAGGCTCCCACCCCACTAGGACCCACAGTACCCAAACAAGCCCAAATCTCCATCTCCCAGAGATGGGTGTGGCTGCGGGAGAGGGACTGGCTATGGTTGCCCCCAGCTGGAAACAAAAGCAGGAAGGCAGCAGGGCAACTGACAGGAGAGGCTGCCTACTAGAGCAGCAGATAGAAGCTGTTTTTATGGAAAGAGAGGAAACCTCGGGAGCAAGGCCTCGGCTGTCACTATCCTCCTCACAGGCCGCCCAGAGCTCCCATAACAGGGCGGCTCCCAGGCGGGCAGTGGGGGCGAGGCCAGCCTCAAAGGGCCTGCTCCTAGGGAGGGGCCAGAGCACAGCTGTTGAGCCCTCCGTTTTGGAAATGACTTCCCAGACTTCTGAGGCCTGAGCAAAGCGGGCACTACTAGGGTTTTAGTGAAGTTCCAGTCGGACCTCTCTATGGCCCAGAGTCTTCCCTTTCCCTCCTACTCGAGGTTCTTTTTTAAAGGAGCCCTGGCCCACTTCCAGGAACTAGATGCCTCGGGCCTGACTCCTAGCCCCCAGCCCAGCTGTTCTGGTAAGACCTGGGCTGTCTGAGCCTGTGGCTTGCCACGGTGCTGAGCAGGTGTCTGTGGTGAGTCACAGTGAGGAAGACAGTGTGCCAGGCAGGGCTGGGCTCCGTGAGGGAGCCAGGCTGGTGGGGTCTAAGTCCTCTAGCTCTTTGGGCTAGTCCTGAACCTACCAGATCTCAAGAGAGAGCTGCCTTTGTGAGATGCCCGGGCTCTGCTCCTTCATCCTTGCTTCTTTCCAGCTCTCCTAGGGTTACACATAGCCTCAGAGGAGCCTGCCTGTCCCCCACCCCTCCACCCCTGGCTACCCCAGCCAGCAGTTACTCCGAGGCAGCTGGACAATCCCTGCAGGACGAGGCTGAGCTGTCCAAACCAGGCATCTGGGCGGGCCAGAAGGAGTGGCAGGCTGCAGACATCTGGATTTATGCAGGCCACATTCCCTGCCAATGGAGTTCACAACCCATTTGTTCAGAGGATGGGCGGTTTCTCCAAAAAAATAAATATGGGGGCGGATAGGGGTGGCAAAGCTTGTAGACTACGTGGTATATCTACTGTCCTAGTTCTCTAGTGCTGCTATAACAGAAATAACCACAAATGAACGGCTTAAACAGGAAAACATCCCAAAGTTTAGGAGGCTGCAAGTCTAAATTCATGGTGCCAGATCTGGGGGGAGGTTTGCCCTGTGTGTCAGTTCTGGGGGAAGGTCCTTGTATCTGTAGTTTCTGTTTGCTGGTTCCTTGGAGGACTCCATGCAGCTTGGCACCAACCTCTCCCCCACCTCTGCTTGCTTCATGTGTTCATTTTATATCTTGTAAGTGTCTGGCTCCAAACACACCCTACGCATATCCTGCTGCATTAGCATAACAAAGACAGCCCATTCCCAAATGGGATTATGACCACAGGCAGAGAGGTTAGAATTTACAACATGTTTACAACATATTTTGAGGGAACACAACTCAATCCACAACATGTGAAGTATAGACCTTATAGGGAATTCTCATTTGAACAAAACACCTGTGAAAAAGGTATTTATGAGGCAGAGAAAAACAAACAGTTGTTTGATGATAGTAAGGAATTCTTGATGGCTTTACTGAGCATGACCATAGTATTACGATTGTATTGAAGGGCACGAATCCTTATCCTTTTCTATTACAAGTTCTTTATTGGTGAAATGACATTATGTTTGGATTTGCTTTTTTAAAAAAAGAAAGAAAGAAAGAAAACTCCAGACAACAAATCAGGGAGAGGAAGGGGTGGTGAAGGGGGAAGAAAGAGAGTTGGACCAAGAAAGGTTGAATGATGGGCGTGTTGGTTGGTTCTGTCTTCTTTCATGTATGTTTACAATTCCTGCAATAACACATTCAATGAAAAGAATAGTGATGGGAGGAGAGCCAAGGGTGAGAAGGGTCTTGGCCAGTGGCAGGGAGACCCTGCTTCTGGTCTTGGTTCTCCTAAACCTTCAGTGTCTGTTTACTTGTGGGAAGTTAATTAAGCCTTGAGCCAAAGGGGAGCATGGTAGTTCACCAGGGACTGTAAGCTCTACTTTATGAGTGTGTGTGAGACCCACAATCCTGTCCTGGCAAGAAGGTGCCCTGGTCATCTCCATTCTTGAGAAGGCAACATTCAAGCTCTGACAGGTTACTAGCCAGCTCGAAGCCACTTGGCTCTTAGGGCCAAGAGGAGGCTCTAGATGTTGGGAGCCGGTGGTCTGGCTGCAGGCTCGCTGCCGCCCTCTGTGAGTGATGTCTCCTTTCTCCTCCCTAGCTGTCTTCACTCAGACGGCTGCTGAGCCTCGTGAGGCCATCATCCCTCAAGCAGTGCTTGAGCTCCAACCCTGGTACCTCAACACCCTGCCAGGAGCAGCAGTCAAAGGCCAGTGCTGAACTTGACCACAAGGTGGGTACCCAGCATATGCCCGCCTCCGTCAGGCCTCCGCCCCACCTGAGTAGCGGAGGGCAGCAGGGCTTCCACATTGCCTGGCATCCAGGTTCTCGCTGCTGCCAGGCTTCCAAACACCCGGGGCAACGCAGGACAGATACCAACAAGTTGCCTCCTTTCTGAAGAAAAGAGGTGCTCATTACTCCCACGGCTTGTAATTAGTGCCCGTGCCCACACCCCTCCCGAGGCACGGTGCAGTGCTGGATGCAAAGGCTCGCAGGTCCCATGTGCGCCTGGCCCTGCCAGTGTGCTTTACTGCCTCCTTGATAGCCTGGTGTCACTTTCTCTGCTTTGGGGTTCTCGGTTAGTCTTAGTACAGTGTGGAGAGGATGCAGGAGCTAGATGCTGGTGTGGGCGCAGCATGTTGTTGTAGGTGCTGTCGAGTCGGTTCTGACTCATAGAATGCCATGTACAACAGTACGAAACACTGCCTGGTTCTGCCCCATCATCGCAGTTGTTGTTTGCTTGAGTCTGCTGCTGCTGCCACTGTGCCAGTCACAGGGTGTCTCTCTCTTTTTTGCTGACCTTCCCCTCTACCAAACATGATATCCGTCTCTAGAAACTGGACCCCCTTGATAATAACATGTCCAATGTATGAGAGACGGAGTCTGGCCATCCTGGCTTCCAAGAGTATTCTGGCTGTACTTTCTCCAGCACAGATTGGTTTGTTCTTTTGACAATCCATAGTACTTTTAATATTCTCCTCCAGCACCACAACTCAAATGCATCAATTCATCTGCAATCTCCCTTATTCACTGTCCAACTTTCACATGCATATGAGGCTATTGAAAATACCATGGCTTGGGTCCAGTGCACCTTAGTCCTCAAACTGGTATTTTTTGCTCTTGAGCACTTTAAAAAGTTCTTGTGCAGGTTTACCTAAATGCATTACGACATTTGATTTCTTGACTGCTGCTTCCATGAGTGTTGATTGTGGATCTAAACAAAATGATGTCTTTTAACAACTTCAATCTTTTCTCCATTTATCTTGATGTTATTTATTGGTCCAGTGGTGAGGAGTTTTGTTTTCTTTACACTAAGGTGCAACCCATACTGAAGGCTATGGTCTAATCTTCATCAGTAAGTATTTGAAGTCCTCTTTGCTTTCAGCAAGCAAGGTTGTATCATCTGCATATCGCAGATTGTTAATGAGTCCTTCTCTAATACTGATGCCACATATTCTTCTTCATATAATCCAATTTCTCGGATTATTTGCTCACCATACAGATTGAATAAGTATGGTGAAAGCATGCATCCCTGGCACACATCTTCCCTGATTTTAAAACTTCGGGGTCCTCCCCTTACTCTGTTTGAACAGGTTCCTCATGAGCCCAATCAAGTGTTCTGGAATACCCATTCTTTGCAATGTTATCTAAAGTTTGTCATGATCCACACAGTCTAAAGCCTTTGGATAGTCAATAAAGCACAAATAAACATCTTTCTGGTAAAATTTTCTGTTTTCATGTATAAGATGTTGGTGTTAAGTGCTATCAAGTCAATTCCAACTCATAGAGAGCCTTGAGGTTAGCAGTCCAGTGCTTGCACCACATCAGGACTCCATGTGCAAGATTTGTTGTTTTTGTTACGTACCATTTAGTCAGTTCCAACTCAGAGAGACTTTGGATAGGAAACCTTGTATAGGGTTTCCGAGGAGCAGCATGTTCAGGATAGGACATGTTGAAGGAGACGAGACGTTCAAGGGCATGTCTCCATGGGAGCTGCATGGTGTTTGTAGGGCACAGCTGGGGCTGATGGCCCTAGTGTTGGCACACTTCTTTCTAGTTGACTTCTGAGGCATTGCCCAGTTTTCCTAAAAGCCATACCCCAGAGCAGGGCACCATGGAGTTTGGAGGGTGGTGCCTGTGACTCCCTGGGGCCTTCAGAGTGAGAGTCCCAAGGTAGATCCAGGGACATGTGGGTGGATCTGCGGGAATTCTCCTCTCCCTGAGGGCTAGGGGTGAGGAATGGAGATAAGGAGCTTCCTAATTTAGGAAAGTAGTAATTCCAAAAGCTCACTCAGAGGTCGAATGCTGATGATCCAGAAGTCCAACCTTTGGGCATCATTTGGTAAATCAGATAAACAAATTAATTACTTAATGAACACAAATGAACAGCTGAGAAGCTAGGCTAATCCCCAGGTGCGTGCTCCTCTTCTGGAAGATGGATGGAAGGTTGTCTTTCACCTGTACCTAATATTAGTGTGTTTCCAAGGCTGCTGCTTCCCAGGGGAGTTGGAGCTGTTTTCCTGCTCCCTTCTTCTTTGCCAAAGATTTCCTGGAAAACTAGAGCCTGTTATGGAGGCCCGCTCTGGTGTACCCCAATCTCTAGAAAGGAGGTGGGGGTCAGCCCCAGGGGAGTTGGGGAGGTGGCTATGGGAAACCCACTTTACTGGTCTGTCTGAGCAGGTTACAGGTGGACAAGCCTTGGCTGGGGAAGGGGAAAAGGAGAGGAAGAAGGAGAAAGGTCAGAGAGAGAAGGGGCTCATGCCTAGGGCCAAGTGTGACCTCCAAGCACCTGGGGACCACACTTGTGACCTCACCTAACAGAAGTGTTGTTACTGCGCCATGCCTGAGGTTCATTCATCTCAGTGCCCATCTGATAGCAGATCAGCGCCTGGGAAAAGAGGAGTAAATGAGCTGACGGTGTTTTTACCTCAAACAGTTGAAGGAGCTTGTGAAAAGTCTCTCCTGGTCAGCTGTGTGGTCTGGGCGCAGAGAGCTTTCCTGCATATCTTAGCTATGGCTGCTGTAAGCTGTAGGAAGTCAGCCCCTGACTCCTGGAGACAAACCCCCTCCCCCTTGCCTCCGTGCACAACAGGAGGAAATGCGGCCAGGTCCTGATTGGTTGCAGGTGTGATCCACTCCTTTTCACCTGCAGTAGATTTTCAGAAGTAGCTCAATAGAGCTTTCTCCCTAGCTCATTTTCTTTTTTAGTCTCGACGCTCCACTGAAACCTGTCCAGCATCATAGCAGTACATAACAGATGGTAGCTGCACAGGAGGGGCTTTGGCTGTGAATTGAACCAGGGTCTCCCCTCATGGGAGGTAGTGAATGAAAAGCAGCTCTCACAGTGCCTTGACTGCTGTTGTTGTTAAGTTCCGACCCATAGAGACCCTGGATAGGGTTTCCGAGGAGTGACTGTTAAACTTGAACCACCGACTTTGCAGTTCAAACTGACTTTTCAAGTCCAGTGCATTAACCCACAGCGCCACACCAGGACTCAACTGTAGTTCAGCCAATAGCAGATTGAGGTAAAGGGCACGGCCCTGAGAAATGGGGAGAGGCTGGTGGGTGCACAGGTGGTCTGCACAGAAGTAGCCAAACCCATTGTCAAGTCAATTCCAACTCATACCAACCCTGTAGGACACAGAAGGGGTTTCAAGGTTGTGAATCTTTACAGAAGCACCCTGCTACATCTTTAACCCCCAGAGGAGCTTGTGGTTTCAATGACCTGACAACCTTCTGTATAACGGTTGGTCAAGCATCTTAACCATTGCATCACCGGGGCTCCTCATAGAAGTAGTAAGGGGTCTGCAAAGTTAGCAGTGAGATGTGTTCTGCCCCTCTGGAAGGGGCCTGGTGCAGGAGCAGGTGACTGGCTCCCTGCAGCTCAGTCTGCTCACCACAGCCAACTGACTCCTCGTTAGGCCTGAGCATGTTTCATCTTCAAAGGTGATCAGGCTACTCCCCAGCCAAAAAAGCGAGGCCGGCGTCATCCACCCTGTTTTACAGGGAGTGGCGGTGGTCTGGGCTGCAGCATGGCCTTTCATCCCCAGAGCTCAAAGTCTCTGACTTTTTTCTTCTCCAATTACAATGGAGAAACAGAGGCCAGAGTGAGGTCAGCCTGAGATGACCCAGCTTGGAGGAAATGGCAACTTTTCTGAACTCTTGGGGCTACTGCGGACCCCCAGCCTTTTGATACGTGCCCATCCTCCAGGCTCAGTGCTCACTGCTGTCTGGGAGATTTCCGGCTCAGCTTGAGTCTATGGGGGTCACAGCCCTGCACAGCAAATAAACACTTTTGCGAGGCTCCTCTCCTCCTGGTTATTCCACCTTCCCTCTGCCTAGGGCCTTGGCCCATGCTCCTCACTCTTCCTGGGAGGCTCCCAGGCCTTCTACTTCCTTTCCTTTCTTCCCTCCCCCAAGGCTGGGGGAGCTAGCTGCTCCTAGGTACCACGGCCCTACTTTCTCTCTCGCTTGCTCACTGATCGCATGTCTGTAACTAAGGATAGACTGTGGGTTCACACATACTCTCCCAGCTGTGCATTGTATGTTTGGCACTCAGTGACTGCTGCATGAAAGACAAAACCAATGAAGGAATAAATCCAATCTGAGTTCTCCCTCTTTCTCTGGGAGTCTTGGGTGGAGCAGTTAGCACTTCCCATAAAAGGCTGCTGATTCAAACCCACCCAGAAGCACCTGCTTCATTTAATATTTCTGCCCATAGAATCCTTCAATATTACAATATTGGATGATGCAAAAAGTATCCAAAGAAGATGGAAGGAATACACAGAGTCACTGTACCAAAAAGAAATGATCAGTGTTCAAGCATTTCAAGAGGTAGCATATGATCAAGAGCCAATGGCACTGAAGGAAGGAGGCCAGGCGCACCGAAGCCAATGGCAAAGAATAAGGCACCAGGAGTTGATGGTGTACAAATTGAAATCTTTAAACAAACTGAGGCAGCACTGGAGGCGCTCACTCATCTCTGCCAAGAAATTTGGAAAAAAGCTACCTGGTCAACTAATTGGAAGAGATTCATATTTGAGCACAGTCCAAAGAGAGGTAACCCAAAAGGATGTGGAAATCATTGGACAATATCATTAATATAACATGCAAGTAAAATTTTACTAAAGATAATTCAAAAACGGCCAAAGCAATACATTGACAGGGAACTGCCAGAGGTCAATCCAGACTCAAACTAGGATGTAGAATGAGGGATATCATTACTGATGTCAG